AAAATATATTAATTATAAAAATGTCAATTTTAAATAATTAATTACAATCTAAAACAGTGTTACAATTTTATGTTATATATATATAAATAATTTAATTTATTTAAAATAAAAAATAATAAATAAAAAATAATAACTTTTAAAACTTTGTCAAACATTTGAATATATAAATACTTTATTTTCTCATAAATAGTTAACAACTAAATAAAAACAATTTGTTTAGAAAATAAATATTAAAAAAAAAWTTCAAAAAAAACTATTTACAAAACAGCTTTCATTTATTCAATTTTCAAAAAAAAGTTTTACTTTATATAAACAGTATATAAATATATACCTAATTTAAATAAATTGTTTGTAAATATATAATAGTATAATAGAGGAAATTAGTAATGTATGTAGGTTATAATAAAAAACATAAAATTGTAAATTAAAAAAAATAATATTATTAAAATTTACATATTATAACATACATACAGTAAAAGTTTTCACACATATATATACGATCAAAACAGTGTATACTATGGGTATTCATATTCATACCTATCTACTAGTTTTACAGGTAATCATTGGCTTAAATATGGCCGACCGTTGGATACATAATCCTATCTATGTTCCCACTATTAAACCAATACTACCGCCGGTTGGGCCGCCGGCACATAGACCACAGCAAAACATTTACATCAATGCCAGTAATGGTGGTGCGGGTGGACCGGGAGCTGGAGGCGGTGGYAAAGGTGGCAATCCAGGTGGCAGGGGTGGCAACGGAGGTAACGGTGCACAGTCTAACATAGTTATAGGTAGCGGTTCGTTGCATTCRTCCGATACTAACCGTCCGCCACCGAAAACAACTATGTCATTGATAACTACAATGTTTCCATTGGTGACAACTACCCAACCGAGTGGCTAACGTTCCTCTATTTTGCTGGAAATGGCGTTCAAWTAGATAAGACAWAATTATTTCATATTAAATARTTTTTTTTATAAAAAAWAAATATTTTMAWATATTTAATGTTTTTATTATTAATAATAAGTTTTTAATAATATACTAGATTTACTGTTTAATTGTAATAATAATTTTTAAAATATTAATATATATATATATATATTATAGAAATAAATATATTATAACAATAGAAATTCAATTATAATTTTTATTTATTATAATAACTAAAATAATTATCAGTTATCACTAATTATATTATATAATCAATCGATATCTGTTAATTGAAAAAATATTATTTACTTTATACAGTAGTTAATATAATTAATAGTATTAAAAATAAATATTTTTTTGTTRTTATTATTATTAGTAGTACTTTTACTTTTATATTTTTAAACTAATGGTATCATATTGACGTCTAATTGTTATTTAATTAATGATTAATATTATTATTATGTATTATATGTGACTAATTGTTTTGACATTTATAATTATAGACAAAACATATGATTTGATATATCTGTTTGTTTTTAAATGTTAATTTGATAATTATTATTAATTATTAATTATTTCTATTTCACAATAAAAATAAATCAAATATTTTTATTTTAAATATAACTTTTTTTATTAATAAAAAAATAATTATATATTTWWAAAAAAACTTACAACTTATTTAAAAAAATATATTTTTAACAAAATAAATAAATTCAATTTTTATTTAGATATTAAATTWAAAAAAAGTTCAATTTTAAAAAATTACTAATACATCCAATAATTGCTATCATTAGATAATATTTGTTTGTTTGTTTGTTAATCATTTATACAATTTATTATTAGCCAATAATAAGCAACAAAAAAATWATTAAAAAATAATATCTAAAATCATTTAGTATATTCATGTTATTTATTATTATTGTTTTATTAGACACTTTGTCTCCTAATATCTATTTATAAATTAATCTCTCTATTATGTAAAAAATACATTTATATATACAGGTATATATATATATATATATATATCATATATTAAGATATTGTGATTTATGTCACATAGACATTGATTAAATTGCTTTTATTTCACACATTATTATATATAAATTTATATATATATATATATATATATATATATATATATATATATATATATATATATATATATATATATATATATATATATATATTTCATATATACACATACAATTAACAAGTAKAATGTAGAAATTTSTTAGTWAAAGTTTTTAAGAAAATTTCTTWGTAAATTTTTYTAMAGTTTTAAAATTTTTTTTTWWAAAAAAATTCATTRARTTTATTTTAGTTAAAATAGTTTAGTTCAATCTATTGCTTTTAMGCAAATTTTTTATGTATTAAACGATATAAARTATACTGGGTAAAAACAATTTACTGTYAAAAAAAATATGACAAATTAAATATTTGTCTGCATATTGAGAAAYTTTTATGSAAACTTTATATATAAATATATATTTATTAAAGCTTYTTATATTACTAAATAAAACGGTATCATTTAAAAATATATSYWTAAYAATTGCACTATATWTTTAATACAATATACATGTAGTTTATTAAATTAATTAGTGATATATCGCGMGTAAAATTATTATACAGTATCTTTTTTAGTTTTAAATTATAGATAGATCATCAGGGTAGCCATTTTAAAATAAAAGCTTATGAATCACCTAGCAACTTAATAAGTTAAAAAAGATATATATATGTATATATATATAGTATATTTCTGATAATATTAATTAAGCTAAATTTAGGACAGAGTTTTAWWAAAAAATTATTTTWATTTTAATTAAATTTATTTTCGGGTTAATTATTAATGATATATATATATAAAACAACAACTAATGTCTACCAATGATAATAATAATAATGACAATGAATGGCAACTACAGTCTAMGGATATGGACCTACTGTGGAACAGTATCTKWTTGATYWTCAATAATGATCAACAACAACAACAACAATTGGTTGTTAACAATAATAATATATGGCCACAACAAGATATGGCCAGTCCTACTAACACGACAATACAATTGTTAATTGATGGACAGTTAGCCAGTCAATCATCATCATCATCGGCTGCCGGCGCCGCCGGCACTTATCGACAGCTATCACACATTAGCAGCGATGATAACTTGTCATTGATATSCGGTATGAATCCATAAAAYAATATATAAAACAAAAAAAAATCAAGAATATTCTGCAGAAAAAAATACATTATTAGTCATATTTTTATAAACKGTTTTTTATTGACTATTTTAGGAGKAGGAGGTTATAYGGACCAGTTATACGACGACCTGTCCATTGATAGCTCTACTATTAGTCTACCGGAAAGCCTCATAAATGAGACATTTAGGCTAAATATTACTGTTGATAATGATAGTGGTGGACAGTTAGCTACAACTGCAGCACAAGTAGTAGGAGCACCACTACCACCAACAYCTACAACATCARTCAGTAGTAGTCATCAACCAACAAAACTTAGACGCGGTAGACGTCCCCATCGGCTGACACCAGCACTGATAGCCCAGCGAAAGGCTAAACAAGCCCTGTCTTCGGCCAGATATCGGAATAACCGAAATCATCAGCGATTGGTYAACGAAAACCGGTTAGCCGTTGAAGAGGCCAAAAATTTACAGCTCAGGGCACAGTTGGATAGCTTGTGTACTGATGCCGATAACTTGTTGTTKTTGTTGGCTAACTGTYCCCGACATGAGTGCAYAACCAGACAATCAGTGATAGTAGAAAATGTGTTAAATGATTGTAGAAAATATTTTGTTGATTTAATTACAGTTTAAATACAGTATATTAWATAATAGATTAATTATTTGGATAATTGTTATGATATTGTTATTTATAATTTACATAAATATTTAAATGTGTTTTTTTAAATATTTTATAACAGCAATAATTTTTGATAAATTATTATTATATTAATAATCTTATAATAATTATATAAAAATAATTTATTTTTAAATTGATTGCAAATTAATTTTATTAAACAATTTTTAATTTCATACAATTATCAATTATATTGAATTATAAATAATTACAATAATTATCAAAATAAATTGATTGATTGTTTTTAATATATATTTAATGGAATGGATGTGTAGTTTATCAGTTAAATTAATTAATTAATATTATTATTTGTTTGGCATTTATATAATAAAAATATATATATTAAATATTTTGTTATATGTATGGCTAAAATTTTTTATACACATAATTGTTATAAAAACTAAAATTAAAAATTGTGACTACAATTAAAACATTATTTAGTGAACTAATTAAAAAAAATTATGTATAAATAATTTATATGTATACAATAATCTATACAAAWATATATATATATATATAAATATATTAATTACAAAAAATATCATTTATTAAATACCTAATTGTTATCATCGGAATATAATGAGGTAATGAAAATATTTAATATTTTGATTAAATGCTTAACTAATATATATATTATATCAATCAATAGTTAACTCAAAAAAAATTATAATAATAATAACAATCACATACAATATTAGTTAACTGAAAAATATTTTTTTTAAAGAAATTAAAACAATTGAAAAAAAAATAATTTTCTTAATTGTTTTCACAACCCATTATCGGACGGAATAATTTGCATATATATTAATTGCATAATATTTTTGTCTATATTATAAAATAATTTAATAATTTATAATAAATTATTTTTTTTWAAAAATAGCTAATTATTAATAGTATCATTAAATAATGGTAATGTTTGTTGTTATTATTGTTGAATGTGTTTGAATTATCACTTAAATAGTCAAAAATTAAATCAAATTGATTGCAACAACAAAATAAAAACTAATCGCATATAAAATTTATGATAAAAAATACAATATTTTTTGTTGTCAAGACTAACTATTTTTTTTAAAAAAAACTATATATCATATATACAATTATAATAAAATAGTTTTCATTAAAAAAATTAAATAATTTCATTATTGATTATTTTTGTTAATAAATCAATTATCATYAAAAAAATATCATCAGATCCTTTAAGTTAGTAACAAATTTTCAATTAAAAAAAACTTATTTGAGAGACTCATTTGATGGGGGAAGGGGGCAGAGGTTCCTGGATGACATAACTGTCYACACCTCCCATCCCATAATTATGGGATAAAATTAAATTCATAGWAGTAAATGTAAAAAAATAAAATTATGATACCCTTTAAAAAACAAAAAAATCATGAAATTAAAAATATTAAAATAAAGCTAATAATTATATAATCAAATTGCATGTGTGTGTGTGTGTGTGACCACCAATTTATGAAACCTATCTATCTATCTATCTATCAATTAATTAATAATAATTATGTGCGATAAAAAAACAAACAAACAAAATCAATTCAACCAACCATCCCATCGACTACATTGGCATTGATGGCAGGGAGGGWGGGGAAGGACTGCACAAAAAAAACAAAAATGTCGGTAAATATATACCGATATATACACAGTAGTATATGACTAAACATTGTGAGCAAACTGGCCAGAGATTGCCTCCTCATAGGACGGAGGCTTATCTTCATTGCCATCACCACAACCACCAGTGCCGCCGGTAGTCACGCAACTGGGCCTTAGAGCCTCCCGTTCCGTATACATGGGCGGTGCGTTAGGTATTCCGGCAGTTGCCGGTGCAGCCACCAGTGGCAATGATGCCGTGGTGGCTGCCTGTCCGCCGCCGCCACCACCACCGCGATCCTGATTGGCCTGCATGTGATTCAATGTTGTATTGATATCGTAGAGGGCCAGTTGGGTTCGGGTAAATGGTTTGCGAAACATTTTTATGAGAATCGACGCAAATATTGTAAACCCGAAAACCGTACAGAAAATGATCACAATGTAGGTCATCGGGTTTTTCTGGGTGTCCATCATATCGTCGTGAAACTGGTGATCGTTGGCAAAACTACCGCCGCCACCGACCCCGGCACTGTTGGCCGTCATTTTGTGGCATTCGTTGCCGACAAACATGTAGCCATTCTGGCAGACACATCGACTGGTCTGGCGATTGCACAGCGTGTGCGAAGTGGTCAGCGCACAGACCACGTCSGGATGTCGCTGATCGCATGGCTGGCCATAGCCGGTACGTTTGGCACAGGCGGGCGCATAGGTGTTCAACAGTACGGATGAACTGTCGCACAAACAAACCGATTGTACGGGATTGCACTGGCCGTACAAATAGGTACACTCACGCTGTTCGGTACACCTCTCGAACAGTTGCCGTCCTTTCATACAGTATTTGCGATGACTATCGGGTATATAACCCGAACTGCATATACATTCGCGTACAATGGGTTCGCAGTACGAATTGGTTACCACACATTCGTCCGAATGGCCGCACCGTTGATACAGTTGACGTTTGGCCACACATTTGCCGAAATGTGTCTTCAAGTAGCCGTCGTTGCACTGACAGGTCACTGTTTTGCGATCGCAATGCGARTGGTCRTCGATGGCCGAGCATTGGCTACAAAAGTATTCGTCAATCATATTAGTCAATCGGGTGACCTCATACTCGTTGGTCGGGAATAGACCGTTGTTGTTGTTGGCCGTTGCTGTTGTGTCRTTCAAATGGCGACACTGGTTGGCCTCGTAGTCATAGTAATGATGATCATCGCAGCGGCAAAAACCGGCCGGAAAACTGGCCGCCGATCGATTGTGTTGATGATTGCCASYACTGGCGACTGCGGCGGTTGTCTCYAGTTTGACCAGTTTTTTGTGGAYRCTATCGAAATGATAGCAATAGAGCAACGATTTAGCCGTTTTCGTACACTGATCGCTGGTCACACACTTGTCGTCAATGGACTTCATGGCCAGACACTGATCGGGGCCGTACTCGATACGATAGTGACCGGCCGGGTCACAGTGGCAAGTGTTGGTCAAGTTTGAACACAATTGATGGCCGTCGGGCGGACATCCGGTGGACGGATAGGCTGTATAATTGCAGCTAACAGTTGTTGTTGAGACGGTGGTGGCGGCGGCGACGGCGTTGGCGGTGTTGACCATATTTTCCGTTCCAGACTGTCTGCTGGCCGTGACTGTAGCGGCAGTGGCCACTACTGTTGGCCACAACAACAATAGACAACACGAAACGATTGCTTGTATAACAATAGTTACGGTAATCGATGGCAACAATAATTGGCGACAATGTTTTGTGATGGCCATTGTGTGGCCCGCGTTGGTCAGTCGGTCGGCTRGCTATATGATCGGTCGGGGGTGGTCAGTAGTGGCCACACAAACACACTGACTATCGGTAATTTAAAAACCAATAAAAAAAATGTTTCGGTTTTTTTACATTATGTTTATATATATTAAGTAATAATAACTACTTTTTGTTTAATATAACACATGATATCTCACTAATAAAATAAAAGTTAAGTAAATATGATATCAAATATATGTTATAATAATAATATTAATAATAATTACTGTAATTAGTTATAAAAAGATATAAAATGTTATGACTTTTTATTATTACTGTATTTATTTAGTTATCATTTTAATAGACGTTTAATGTAAACATATTTTTTTTAAGTGTATAATATTTTATTGAAAATTACGTTATAAATTACAATACATAGTAAATGTGTTATTCATATAACAAAAACAGTGTATTTGTTTTTACTGTGAAACTAGAGTATAGAGAGAGATATATATGTTTGTGAGAACCGAACCGAACTTAGGATCCAATAAATAAAAAAATAAATAAATAAAATCATAATTAAAAAAATTTATTTAACTTTCATTTAAATTATTAGTTTTAATTTTAATAATAACAAAAATAAATAATATTTTTAATTAGCTAAAAATCGTAAAAAGTTAAAATTATTTAGTAGTTTTTTCGTAATTGTTGTTTGTCGTGTTTATTGATTAAAACAAAATAAAAAATCTAAAATTACTTTAAAATTAATATTAAAAAAAAAAATCCAATTTAATATTATTTTAAACTAAATTTTATTATTTTGTTAGGTTTGGTTTGTATGCAAAAAATATCTAGTATTTCACTTCTAAGCTGTAGTCACTAGCTGTAAGTGTATGACTTGACAGTATGGGGCGCTGACTGTACTTCATATACAATACACACAGTGTGTATATGTTTAGTGACGCAACTGCGCTCCGGTATCTCAGGAAATAGGGAGGGATTGTGTTATTATTAAAAAAAATAATCATTTAAAACAATAAATTTTATTATTAAAATTGTACAAAATATTTAGTACAATACATATATTTGTTAATATTTTTATATTTTTGATTTAATAATTTACTAAAATTATTTTATTTTTAAGTTTACATTAATTAATTTAATGTTGAATAAGTTGAAAAATATTTAAAACTTAATTGTTTTAAATGTTGTAAAAAATAATTTCATATTAGATGTTTAAAAATTAATTTRTAAAATTTTTAATTTGATTAAATTTAAAAAACAATTACTATTAATAACAATTACAATTACAATTAATAATATATTTAATATTAGTTTATTAAAAATAGTTACAKTTAGTATTTAAAAATATTTAACTAACTATTATAATTAAACTATATTAATTTTTTTAAAAATCAATTAATTTCAAATAAATTGACATTTATTAATTAATTGAAATATTTATTTTTTTAAAAATTAATTGATTAATACATTGCTTAATATTTTAAAAATTTAATTTAACATTTTTTAATAAAAACAATTAAAACTTTATAACTATTTGATAATTAGGTAAAAAACAATATTATTAAATAAGTTAATAAAATGTTAAATTTTTTTAACCATAATTAAAGTTGCCAAAAACTAAAAACTAAAAATTAAAAAATATTCATTAAAATTTTTTAATATCTTATGATATCTTATATAATTAGCAAAAATTTTGATATATTAATTTTTTGCTATTTATTTTTTGCTATTTATTTTTTAGTATTATTATTATTATAAATGTTTTCAATAAAATATTACAGTAGACATGATATAATAAAAAAATTTTAAATAAAAATAAATTGTTTAAATTGATTGATAGATAGCTAATATCTTTAAAAAAATCCATTATATTTCCATTATATCCTATTTTATATAACAATAAAAATGTCTTATTAATTATACTTCAATTACTATTATATAATGTAATTTAAAAACTTTAAAAAAATGTTTTTTTTTATTAATTACAAATTTTATTATACCTATATATCTATCTATTGACAACTATAATCATTATACTAAAAAAATACTGTAATATTATTATTATTATTATTATTAAAACTATGCTTACGATAGATACCATAGGTTTAGAGAGAAAAAAAAATCGTTAGACATATAAACATAATATAGTAATAATATTATTATTATATTATTTTGAAACAATTTTATCTAACCTTTACTATACTATATTTATATACAGTATATGATATACTTATAGTAGWTGTAATAATAATAATAATAATAAAATATAAGGATAGGTAATCATTCACAAAAAAATATAGTACACACTTAACATCGACAATAAAAAAGTTCATTGCCATCACCTAATTAGGTATTTCCTCTATAATAAAGTGTTTTTCCTATATATATATATATATATATAWTTTTTTAGTATATATATCTAGGAAATACCTTTACCTCCACATAGCACCTACCTATTGTTGTTGTCAGTATTATTGTATATAATTTACTTTTTTTTATACAACAAAATAAACATTTTGTTTTTATTTTATTTTTTTGTTTTTGTTTTAAAGTTTTTTATAATACTCTATATTTTTTAAACTATGTGTTTTTAATCGATTAAATAATATTTTTATTTTTTTTAAATTAAACAAATATTTACTCTATTGTACAAAATTGTAATATCATTTAATAACTATTAGACTACACTATTAATATTAATATTATTTATTAAAAAATATATATACTGTATATAAACAACAATCAATGTGTGTGTCTCTCTATATAAAATAAAGGTTAAAGTATTTTTTGGGAAAAAAATTAAATACATAAAAAATATGTTGCAATAGTTTTAATGAAAATATTTTTTGTGTGTTATATATTTTGTTGGTGTTTTTGTTGTTGCAAAAAAATACCGGTAAAAACATAAATTAGTTAAAACATTGAAACAACTATAATTTTTAGCGGAAACAAATACCAGAGACTAACCAATAATAATAATAATAATAATAATAATAATAATAAAAACCTAAAAAACATAAGTAAAGTCAAAATGCATCCCAAAAAAATAAGATATTTTTTATTGAGGAAAAAAACTTATATATATTTTCCATATATATAATGATAATAAATACTAATGTAATAATATGTAATAAAACAATATATCATATATTTATATATATAAATAATATTTATATATAACTATATATACACGAACTTCCTTTACTAATAGCAAATATTTAACTGTATTTTACTCAATATATAAATTTATATATTAACTAAACTAAACTAAACTAAAATAAAAATAATAATATTTTGTTTTATACACAATTATTATAGTACTAACTATTTTTTTATCTAACATAACATACAGTATATATAGTTTTTTATGGTTTTAAATATTAAATATCATGATATATATATATACTGTATAAATTAAATAAAAGCTAAATTAATCAGATAGAGTAAAATATATACAATATATACTGTATATATATTATATATATACAGTATATCACAAAACTACACACACACACAAAATAAAACAAATATATTTTTATGCTGCTTATCTAAAATAGTTAATGTTTTATGGTTTGAAAAATATTTTCATTTAATAATAATAATAATAATAATCATAGTATCACTAAAACCATAGAAATAATATAATATATATATATGATATAAAAATTAATATCTATTTTGTGAGTAAGTAGGAGACAAAAAACTTTTGTTTTTTTTGTATTCATACATATTGTATATAAAAACTAAACAAAAAAGTAATTTATATTTTATATATATATATATATATAAGTGAAGACACTTTGAATGGATTGCATATAGTTTTTACTGTATATATATTATTTCACTGTTTAATCGATAGCTACAGTGAAAAAAATAAAAATAAAATAAATTGTGACACATTTTCCTCACTCATACACACAGTTATATATATATATATATAATGGTTTTCTTGTCGTTAAGTTTAATGTATTTATAGATAAAAATAAATATAATTTTTTTTTAGTTTTTTTTGCTATAAAACTGATGTATGTATATATGTATATAAACAATATATATATACAGTATACACACATAAATTATATCTATTGGAAATTATAATATACATTTTAATAATAAATTGGAAATTTTTATATTTATTAATGATAATAAAAAATATCTAAAAATAATAATAATGACAATAATTATAATATTAAATTATTTGTTAATAGTATACACGAAATAAAAAAAATAATTTAATAGTATAAAGTATGTCTAGACATTTACCATATATATATATATATATACAGCTTAGAGTACATTGATAATAATATTAGAAAAATATTTGATAATCTACTAGCAATTTTGATAACAATTTGTTTTTTTAAAACAAATATTAAATTGTATTTTAAAATGTTTAAATTATTATTATTATAAACAAAACTATTATATGTTTAAATAAACTATTTTTTCATATACAGTGAATAATAAGTTAAATTGAATATTATATTACACTATATATATACATAAAGTCCAGTATATTTATATGAATTACTTAGTTTAATAAGATTTTAAATTATTAATTTGCACAACATTTTTATGCATACCTTATAATATAATGGTTATACCATTTAGTATTGTTTTATGAGTGTAATTATGGGATAATTGCACATATAATATATGATATATACAGTATATATTTCTATCATAATATTATATAAAATATAATAATAATAATAATAATAATAATGACCATAACATTAACATGTACGCTTTTATTATTGTGCATATATATAATAATATTGTAAATAATAATTATTATTATTAAAATAATAATAATAATAAAAAAAATTATATACTTTAATCTTAGTCTATTAGTAACAATTAATTTTATTTTGCTATAAAATTTATTTTGAATAGTCCCTGGATACTACTAATACTACTATTAATTGTTTTAAATATTTAGTTGACACTGTATTTTTAAATATGATAAGAGATTTATCTATCATATATATATATATATAAAATATAGTATATATTTATACATAAAAATATATTTTTTTTAAAAACACACAAATTTAATTATAAATTTTAAAAATATGATTATAAAGTACCAACAAAAACAAACAATAAAACACATTAAATATTTTTTCCCCTAATAATTTATTTATTTATTTTTTGTCTACAATTTACTCATATTGTATATTCAATGTTTTTTCCTCAATAAAAATTTTGCAACTTTTTAAAAATTAAATATTTTTTTTTTAATTTTATATATATATATATAACCTAATAGTGATATAAACAGTTTTTTCGATGCTTACATATATGGATATACAGTATACTGTATATACAATATATGTAAATGAATTTTTGCTGTAAATTTTTTATGGGTTTTTTTTATTTTATATAAATAAAATATTATCATCGATAATACTGTACTAATATTTTTTTTTATTGTAGACTAAGTTATGGGAAATTTCCGATAGTTTTTTTTTTTAAAAAATGAGATAAAATGCAAAATAACCTCAAATAATATATATATATAAATTCAATTTAACAAATTTAACCAATTTTGTTGTTGTTGTTTTATTTTTTAGCTTTTTTATTTATCTTATAAGTTATGATTTTTTTTTGTAATAAAAAAATATATAGTCTTATGACTTATAGACACATATTTTTAGTTATAAATTTTTATATATGTATTTATAACTTATTTATTTAGATAATAATTAGAAAAGTTATAATTTTTATTTAAAAAAAAGGTTTTTATTTTTATTTTATTTATGATATCATTATAAATACAGATATACAGTGTGTTTGTGTGTATAATACAGTGTATATATATATAAATATGAAATTAATTGTATACAATATACAGTATAGTAATTTTATTTTATTTATATAAATATTGATATCAATATCTTAATAATGATTATTATTAATTATAATATAATTTTTTTTATTGTAAGCCATTTACAGTTGAAGACACTTTGAAAGCCAATCGTATGAGAGTTTTAGCCCCAATTAAAAAGGCTTATAATTAAAAAATATTTATAAATATTTTTTTATATGTATGTGTGTTTGATGTGTTGAGTGTGTCATATATTTAAAAATTTAAAAAAAGATATTTATGTATGTATGAAAAAATTACAATTATACAGTATTATATATTTATAAAAAAAATTATATAAACAATATTAGATTTTTTTAGAGTGATAATTACATAAATATTATATTATATTATTATATATTAATACATATCATTTAATATATATATATATATATATTTATATATTTTTATTGGTAACAAATTTTGTTGTGTGCAGACAATTGATTTATTATGTTTAATAATAAAAAAAACATAATTAAAAAAATATAATAATAATATATTCATAGAATAAAAATAAATTTTAATTGTTTTAATTAATTAATTAATTAACTAAATTCAATTAATTAATTTTTTAATTTCGTAATTATACATTAAATCATAACTGTGTATAATAATGTACATTACTACTACTACTACTATATTGATTTGAATTTATTATTATATATTTTTAATTTTTTATATCATATATATATATATATATATAATTATATAATAAAAAAATAACAAAAATAAAATTTTAGTAAAAATTTTAACTTTAAAGATAAGAAAATTTCCCATATTTATAATTTTACATTAGATATAAATATTTTGTTGATTTTTGTTGTTTAATATTTGCAAAAATACATTAAAAGGATCTGTTTTATTAAATATAGAAAAAAACTTTTTTTATTTTCATTTTATTTTATAGTTAGTATAAATTATATATCTATATATATACCGGTATATAACTTATTTATACAGTATATGACTTGCAATTCAATAAATGCATCATTAATTTATTTGCACTCAAAATGACATATACTTTCATATATATATAAACAGATATATTAATATATAGTATATATATATATATAAAGACACCCAGAATATTCTGTATATATATATATTACTTAATATAATATATTTTATATAATACACATATATATATATACAGTATATGTTGTATTTATATTTTTGTTTGTACATCTCTAATAGCTTTGTGTATGTATGTGTATATTATATATATAATAGTAACTGTAGTTTATTATATACATATATGTGTTTTTATAGTGATATTTATAACAGTATATTTTAGTGGATGAGAAAGAGAAAGAGAGAGAGAGAGAGAGAGAGAGAGGAAATTGCTGTTAAATTATTAACCATTAAAATACCTTTTTTTATTACATTAAAGTCTCTCTCATTTATTTTGTTGAAAAGGTTTTGATGAGTTTTTCATTTGCATTATTTATTTATAAGTAGTTATTCAACGAGTACTCACTTAAAATATAAATTATAATATACAGTATATATATATATATATATATATATATTAATATATTTTTTATTATTATCATACATTACTATAAAAAAGGGTTTTATTTTATTTAGGTTTCTCTCTCTTTCTCTCTTAACTGTATTATACTTTAGTATATTTGTTTGGAAAATATCTAATTTTCAATTGGGATTACAATTAACTATAATATAGTGTTTAAATATCATTATATATATATATATATTTACATATTATAACATATATATATCTGTATATAATTGTCTGAAGTGGTGCCGCGGATCTCATATTTTAAATAATAAATTAAAAATTATATTATTATTATTATAGTAGTAGTACTGTATTACTAGTAGTCTTATTTGTAATAAATGTCTATATATTGATAATTATAATAATAATATACTTAATGATACAAAGATTGTGGTTATACAGTATATACTGTATATAATTTTTTTATTGATTAAAAGTTTCAAAAGTGTATATTATTATCAATTATTATTAAGATTATTATTAGCACAGAGTGTAGTGTAGTGTCTAATACAATGTAATTTATAATTATATGTAAACTTTATACTACTGTAATACTATATTGTTATGTTTAATAGCAAAATTGATTTATTTATTTTCTCTATATCTTTCAATAATAAAAAAATAAAACAAAATTATTTATCAACAACTACTGTATATTAGTTTATATATATACATAACAAATAGTTTTTCTTATTATCTTTTATTTGAAGTGTCAAATATAATAAAAAAAATTGATATAAAAATTTTTGACACTTGTATATTATATACTGTATTAATTTATTATTTAAGTTATATGTTTGTCTATCTATTATATACTTATTGTTTGATTGATTGATTGATTGAGTCATTGATTGATAAAAATCAATAATAATTATAATAAAATGTAAATAAAATTACTTTTTGGAAATCATATTTTCTTTGTTGCTATTATTTTGTTTGAACTCATTGTTTTCAACAACAAAAAAACTATTTATATAATAATATCAAAAGGTTTGTCAAAAAATAAATAAATAAATAATTATATGCTATTAAACAAACAGTATATAACAGTTGTTATATATATATATAGTATATTTTAAACTATTAGATAATAATAGTTATTATAATTATAACTATTTAGCAATTTTCATCAGTAAAAAAGTTTCACTACATAAAAATGTTTTTAATAATAATAATACTAATAATAATTACTATAATTAATTTAATGTCACACAAAAATTTATTGAAAAATTTTTGAATATTAGTCTCAATGCTGTCATAAAATATAAATACCGCATATATATATAGTGTCTCATTGTCTCATTAATTAATGTTATATGAATATTGTGTATAAAACCCTATGTTTGTAATATTATTATTATTATTATTACTGTATTTTAAATACATATAAACTAAAAGTATGATATATGAAAAACAATTAATATAATATACTGTTATGATATATACTGGTAATACAATACATTTCAAAAAAAAGCTTTTAAATTAATAGATGTATTTCATTGTTCATTTAATATCCACAATGTCTATTTAATAATAATATTATTATTATATATTATTATGATTATTATAAACTTTAACAACTATTTTATACATTGTAGAGAGAGAGTACTGTACATTGAATTTAATGATTTAGACTCATATGAGACATATATAATACTGTACTATAATATTATTGTTTGTAATTAAATAGCTTTAACTAACATATTAAGAGATAAAAATATGTTGTAATAATATACATATATCAAAATATTTATAAAAATAATAATAATAATAATACCATAACATTGGATAATACTGTATATATATATATATATATATATATATATATATATATATATATATAAAACCCGCAATATTGCGATGTGATTATTAATAATGAAACAAAACTTTTTTTTTGGAAATAATATCAAATAATTATTTTGTTTGTTTAGTAATTAAAAAAAAAATTACGTAAATTCAATAATTTTGTTGTCTTGTCGTTGGGATGACAATAGTTTGCAATCATTACCCACATCATTACCGTCACCACCGTCTGTAGTGGCCGTAAAACTATCGGCACTGTTGTCCATCGGTATCATCCGATGATGAACCGGATCGCAGTGGCCATCATCGCCACTATTACCACTACCACTACTACTACTACCACCATTGGTCAGATCATCGCCGGCCATCACTATCGGCCGAATCATTTGCATAATATAGTTGCGATTACGCCGGGCAACGTAGATGGCCACTACAAACGCGGTCGCAAATACACCGGCCAACAACAGTGTCATATAATCTATGTCGCCGTCCGAGTCATAATCGTCGTCGCCGTCGGCAACCCGTTGCGGGACAACTATTTCGACGGCCATCGTATCGATTGTGCACTGGGGTTGGCCATCGAAACTGTTGCGATCGGGCGTATAGCCGGCACCGCACAGACATATATTGTCGATACACCAGCTGTGCTCCTCAGAGTATTGGCATTCCTCACGACCGGCGCAACTTTCGCCGAGATATTTCCCTTTAACACAGTGGCCAATGATTGTGGAAAACACGTACGTATGGTTACACTGGCACCTCATGTGCTGACCACCACCACCACGGGCGCCGTCATCACCTAAGCTAGTGTCGGCGGACGAATTGCTGCATACACTGTCCGGTTGGATGCACTGGTAGTCCGAACTGCACGGTTCGGCCATGAGTTTGCGTTTTTGGCAAACTTTGTTGCCATTGTCCCCGTCAGTTGTTTGGTAGTGTGTCTCCGGGCACCGGCACTGTCCCTCCGGTGATAGAGGTAGGTCAGGTCGGATCCAGTAGCGTACAGTTTCGCGGGACAGTTGTATACTGGTGCTGGTGGTAGCAGTGTTGAAGTAGTAGCAAAGAGAGCCAATGGGACACTGTTCCGATAGGATACACGAATCGGATAGGTTTAGGCGCCGCTGCAAACAGAATCGGCCGTCCAGTGAGATAGTATAGTCCGGGCGACACTCGCACCGGTTGGTTGTCGTATTGCAATACGAACCGACACTGTCCTCACAGCCGCCGGACGACAACCATTTTTGATGATCACAACTCCTCACATCATTATAAGCACCACTACTACTACTACCGGTGCTATTATTGTTACTACTATTGGCAGTACTGACATTGTTGTCGGTGTTGTTGTTGGTGTCTATCACCTGTACAGCTGTAGCTAATAGTACGGTGTAGGCTATGACGATGATTGTTGTGCACATAGTTATCGTTGTCGTATTGATTGTCATTTTTATTGTTGATGTCAGTAGTGTCATACCGGTGCTGATGATGACATAGAAGAAACAACTGACAGAATAACTCGTTAGTCGACGACAACAACAACCGGTCGGTTGTCTCGAGTTGTGTCGACTTCTTTCGATGACTTTTCCACGCCATCAGCGACTTGTCTGACCACACCTTCGCTACGCTTCGATACATGGGTTGCATTGCATAAACACATACACACTTACACACACACACACACACACACATACATACACACACACACACACCGTTTAGATATATATATATTGAAACTTGTTTTCCTATGGGTTATGGGTTTCTGGTATCCAATGGTAACATATTGTAGAGTCAATTATATTAAAACTACCAGTGCTTCCTTGTTATATAATATACAACACATACATATATATATACATACATACACACACACACACACACACACACACACACACACACACACACACACACACACACACACACACATAGTTATATACACATACTGTACAATACATTTATTAATAAAACTTATGTGTGTGTTATTGTGTGGTTTAAGCCATACAATAATACATACCTATTATCATAAGTACTGGAGGAGTAGTATCTCTCTCTCTCTCTCTCTCTCTCTCTCTCTCTCTCTCTCTCTCTCATGTAATTTATTTACTAACTCTCCCTTTAATGTGTTTGTTATATATATAAATAAATTTTTATATATCACATATGAATGTATTAGTATATCAAACTTTTTTTCAATACCTAACATACACAACAAAAATCTAGATTTTTCACGCTTTTCAAAACACACGTCCATAAAATAAAAATCTTTATTATTAATAACTTTTTATATACTATATATTTATGTATAAAAAAAATATATAAATTTATATACATTAGTATTATGTATGGTATGCGTATTGTACAATATATATATACTGTATATACAGTAATATAACATTATTCAATAATTTATATAAATAAGTTTTTATCATATCGTATAATATACGACGTATATACTACAGTACAAACTATATGCGGTATATAACCAAACAACACAACAAAAAAAACATCAAAAAATACTAATAAATTGTATAGTTATATGTGTTGTTAGATTTTGAGGGGTATAACTAATAATATGACATTTCTCTCTCTCTCTCTCTCTTTCACTCTAAAAGTATGTATAGTTGTCGTGTTGCGTAAAATAAAATTGTTTGATACGATAATATAAATAATAATAATAATAATAATAACAATAATAATAATAATAATTTTGTGCCAAATATTTGTCATCTAATGTATATATATATATTGTAGAGTGTGTGATGTATTTATTGATTTTTAACCAATAATCTTGTATTTTATTTGTTGGTCTAACCATTGCTTGCAATTTATATCGAAATTATATTATATATTTTATATGTATATATATATATATACAGTATATACTGTATAATATTTTTTTTGCACTCTATGTGACTGTGAATTCATGTGAAGAAACATTACAAACCTTTTTAAGATATGACTTATTATATTGTATGATAAGCTCTCTCTCTCTCTCTCTCTCTCTCTCCCTTAACTCACTTTACGTGTCATTCAATACTCACTAAACCATAACTTTAAGGACAACCAAAAAAAATTTTTTTTTTAATATAATATGTATACTGTATATACTGTACATGTTTTTTGTGTGTAAACTTCCGAGTAAACGCCAAACCCTTAATATATATTTTTATTATATATATATATATATATATATATATATATATATATATATATATATATAAGATTATATACAATATTATGATACATTCATATAAATAAATAAGTAATCATTAAGTTTCAAGTAATCAAAATATATAGCATTTATTTAAAAAGAAATATTTTAATAGCATTTATAGCATCAGTATTATACATTGTGTGATAGAAAATAATACACAAAAAAAATTATTAGTAGTAGTTTAAAATAAAATAAATAAAATAAAACTTGAATAAATCTATAATTTATTGTATAATATTATATTTATTAAAAAAATTAGGAATATATACTGTATATATAAATAATAAAAAAAATTATAATGCAATTTAACATTTTTTTGGAGCTATTTTATCTATTATACAATAAATTTATTTAAAGAAAAAAATTTATTTTTCATATAATTAATGAATGAAATGCACAACATTTAAAACATATAATGAAAGTATAGTACATTATATATATATTATATATAAAATTCAGTATTTTATTATTATTTTTAGTTTTCTCAAAACAATAGCTTTTATATTACTGTATTATATATACCGGTATATATATATATATATATATATATATATATATATATATATATATATAATTAACTACAATATACAGCTATACATGTATTTAAATGTTTGTATGATATATCATTATGGCATATATTTTTTTGAATTTATATTAATATATATATATATATATATATATATATATATATATATATATATATATATATATACAGTACATATTATTTTATTAAAAAAATATACTGTATATCATATAAAATAATATATATATATAAAAAAGAAAAAAAAAATTTAATCAGATATAGACTTAATTTATTATTATTATTATTAATATAAATGAGAGTGTAATATATTTTTAAATATAAATATATATGAGATAACAAAAAATAATACATAAAAAAATTCTTAATGTTATCTTTGAATAAATGGGAAAAATTAAAAATAATTATAATAAAAAATGTACACAAAAAAAATTATAATTTGATAAACAATTATTGACAACACTAATTATTTTATTTAATTAAAAAAAACAATTTACTATTATGATTATGGATAAAATTTTCAGTACAAATCAATTGTGTAAAATCAAAATTTAAAAAATAATATTTTTTGTTTTGTTTTGGTGTGCTATTGTTTAATGTATCTGTAATATCAAATAATATAATAATAATAATAATAATAATAGCATTTTATACCATAATTTAATTAAAGAAAAAAAAAATAATAATAATAACTTATAAAAGTGTTTTTAATCTAACGTTTTCATTACTAGACATACAGTTCAATACACATGTGAAATATAGTTTGAAAAAAACATAATAAATTGAAAATTCAATTATTTTATTATAACATTTGAGAGCAAAAATTTAGTGGAGAGAGAAAAACAACAACAAAATTAAATTATTAAATAGTTTATTAAATTTTTTATCAAATGTTTAAAAAGAAACTTTTAGATTCACTAAACACACACATGTTATATGTATTATATTATATATATTTTATATTTCATTTTATCATAATAGTAAATCAAATCAAATATATATATATATATATATATATATATATACGGTATATAATATAAACCACAAGGAAATAAAATATATACGATATAAACACACGGAATATACTATAATAAAAAACCTAATACACAAAAATAGCATTCAATATATAATTTATATAAATATATAAATATTAAATGTATATAAATGTTATTAAAATTTATATGTAAGTACTGTATATATATATATATGGTATGTATGTATATATATATATATATATATTTGTGTGTGTGTGTGTGTGTGTGTGTGTGTGTGTGTGTGTGTGTGTGTGTGTGTGTGTGATTAGGTATGTAATGAAAATATAATATTATAATATTACAAATAAATTTTTCCAAAACTATTTCAAAGTTAATCTAAAAAAATAACTATATTTATATAATACAGCATAAACCGTATAATAAATAGAAAAATACCATAAAAAAGTATATATATATATATAATATTATAATATAATATGTGATACTATTTAAATAAATTGTAATAATTATGTGTGTGTTTTCCCAGTAATTTGGTTATAGAGAGAGAGTTTTTATTATAAAAAAATAATTATTATATTATCAATAAAACAAAAAAAAGATAATGATAAAAAATATACACAAAAACAAATTAATGTAATTTAACAATAATTATTATAAAAACAATATTTTATATAACAAATTACTTAACCAATAAATATTAACACAAACATAAATGTTTTAAATGACAAAAAAAATTATGACAAAATTTTAAACAAATTAATTAATGATAAGATTATATAAAAAAATTATAAATATATGAATAATATATGTATATATTCTAAGTGTTTTTTTAGTTTTGGCATTATTTCTAAGCAATTATTTCAACATTGAAAAAATGAAACAATAAATATAAAAATAAAAACTTATTAAAAAAATAAATGACTTATTGATAGACAAATAAATTGATTCAATACACACACACACACACACACACACACATCTATAAAAAATGTTTAACATTGAATTGTTAGACATATATATAAATGTATTTTTTCAATTGACAGAAAAATAAATGATAATATATTTGTTTTATTTTAAATGTAGACATTTCACAATAGTGTCTCATTTATATAATAATAATAATAATACTTTATATAAATATATGGCAAACAAATAAAAAAATATTAACTATATATTTCAACAATAGATATAATATATATCAATATACAGTATATATATATATATATAACATATATTACTGTATTATTGCAACTTTTATTACTATCTCTATTGTAACAAAAAACAGTATTAATATATCCAAAATAGATACACACACAACAAAAAATTGTGAGACTAATTAAAAAAATATAAAATATAACACTTACATTATAATACATATTAAATAATACATACACATACACACACATCATACTTATATAAAAACAAACAAACAAAATTACAGTATATATTAACAATTAATGTGATTAAATTGATACAAATATTATAGACACTGAGTAGACAAAACTGATACACTTGTATATCAACAACAAAAAAATAATATTATAAATATTGTATCAAATTTAGTACTAAAATAAAACAAAAATATTGTGATATATGGCTAGACATGCAATACATTTAAGCGTATTTATGAGGACTGATATGTATRGCATACCTGTRTATAGTACTGTATATACTATTATATATGTGTGCTTATGTAGGGGCTATTGGAGCTATCATTTTCAATTTATTAGTATTTTGCACGACATTAGTCAAAACACATACATACATACACACTAACAATATGTATAAATATGGTTATTATAATCAATAAAATACAACATTAAACTTATACATATGTTGTATTAAAAGACAAAAAATATATATCAATATATYYATAGACATAGAAATAATAATAATAACATTAATAAGYAAATTAKTAATATATATA